GCCGAAGGATTTGAGCTTCTCTGTCTTGCTCAGAACAACGGTTGATTGATTGTTCCCTATTTACGAACGTTCCATTGTTAGAAACCATATGTTTTATATGCAAATATACTGAAGACAACAAGTTAAATATAGAGACACTCCCCCCCCCCAAAGAGTTGAGGTAACTGCTCTTGAGATGTACAGTGAATGTACAATTTACTTTCAATGAAACAATCTACAGACAAAAGGATGGTATTGAAATGGATTCTCCCTTGGATCCTCTCGTTGCAGATTGTATTAAGGCTAGTCTAGAAAATGATCAGTTGAAGTCAACAGTTCACAGTTTCCAAATGAATAAAAGGTATGTAGATGACACCTTTATTATTAGTAATAATGACTATAATTGCAGTAATATATTAAAAGCATTTAATGTTTGCTACCCAACGACAGAATTCACACTCGAAATGGAAAAGAAGTCTAGCATTAATTTCCTCGATGGGAACTTATTAAGGAGGAAGGATGGAACTCTGAAGACATCGGTCTACAGAAAGCTGTCACAGAATGGTCAGTTGACAAATATCTACAGCTGGGTACCCATTGGCCGAAAACGAAACCTGATCCGATCACTTGCCAATCGCATTCGGCGCATATGTAGCCCTGATACTGTGGAAGATGAGGGAAATCTTTTGGGGAAAATCCTAATAGAAAATGGACTTCCATCACTTTTTGTAGACAATAACATACAAAGCCGATGAAATGTGACTTAACGTCCGTAACCAAGAAAATGCTGTACACGAGCTTAGAATTCAAAGGTGACCTAGTTGCCGACATCTTTGGTGGATGCAGGTATCGACGTTCGCGAGTTGTACGGATTATATTAACGCAAGATCTTATACCAACAACTTCTATAGTGTTCGTTCTTCGAGTACCAAAGATAAAGCAAAAGACCAGATTTTGTCGTCCAAAGTACGTAGTATATTTCGGGACAAAATCGCGGGTAGAGATGAATGCTTAGCTAGCTAGTAATCGTGCACGCACGTGACACGACGGAGCACCAAATGGCGGGGATGCTTGACTGTAAGCCTTCAGCTGAACAAGTCGACTTAAACAGTGATGGTCAGCATCCAATTTTGAGTGATGATTGCTGTGGTTAATAATCTTGGGGAATTATTTACCGCTACACATCCTTAAAAGAAGGATCTCACAGTTCCTGAAAAGAACATTGCATGCTGCATCGTTGAAAATAGCGTTTTCTAGTCCACCATAACTGCTCAATAACGTAGAAGACAAGATCCCGCAGTTGACAAACTCTATGTGTTTATCAATTCACCTGCTCATGTGGAGATAGGCATATCGGTCGTTCGACTAGGGTTTTGTCCAAGAAGCGCAATCACGGAGCATATGATCGATACTGATCACTCTATCTCTACAGCTTTAGCCTTTAAAGTCATCTGCAAGGCGAAAAACAACCTGTCCAAATCCCTACGTACCCGACCCATCTGTATTGCTGAAGCTTTGGCTATCGAAACAGAAAAGCCAGATCTTTGTATACAGAAATATTTTGTTCAATCACTCCAACTCTCATGGTTTTAATCCCTCTATGCTAAAGTATGATGATCCCCACTCACATTTTCAACCCTTCTGTTATTACGTCAATTGTTACTATTATTATTATTATTCTCACTTTGAACTGTCCCCGGTATTATTTCACTCGTCCCACTTGTAATTCTAAATCAATTTTACTTTGCAATATTGAATTCTATGTTATCAAGTTTCACACCATTTTATGTAACTTTTTTAAAATTTTATTTGCCTACTAACTTACACCCCCTTCCAATCTCTATACACCCTACGAATTGTTTGTTCTGTATACGACATTAATTATTTTACCACTTGACATTTAACTATGATTAGAATCACAAATATTTGAATTGCATTTCACACTATTATTATTATTATGTATTCATACCTGTGATTCAATTCCCTCACAGGGGGTAATTTCTTAAAAACCATCTATGTATCACTGTACAGCTTGAAAATAAAGTCGTTCAAAAGAGTCTCTCCCGCTAAATCACTCCACCTGTTTTATACCGTTTACTCTCACCGACCACCGCTTGCAACAGAGAGGCGGGGCAAAGAAAACTGACACACAATACACATTTCTTATTCTTCTTTCACGTTCCCAGTGGAACATATAGGGTTTCAAGCTAGAAGCTTGGAGTTTCGGTAGCAGTGATGTTTTATTTTTCACGGGATGGGGTTGCCACAGCCTCATGCCCAACTTTCCCTCTTTACCAGTCTTATATTACTGGCTTAGCGAGGTAAGGGAGTGCGTCAACTGAGGATCGAACCCCAGACCACATGAGGCGTGGTAGGCGAGCATTCTACCACTGTGCCACCGACGCACACAGTACACATAGTACTCAGTAAACATTGTCTGAGCCAAACCTTATGGTAAAATAGCGAGAGTCGTATGAATCTTTTGCGGATGCACTAGAATTAAGTCACAGTCCAGTCTAAATAGATATAATATGACTCATTTAAACCTCCGAAAATGAGTATATCGACTCGAGAAGTTAACTGTTTCATTAGCTATTCCCCCCCCCCCCAAAAAAAATTATACACATTTCTAATGATTGTCCAAACGACTGTATTTTATCAAAGTCAATCAATCAATGTGCACATTTGTGAAGTATTTGTCAATAGGTGAAAACTAAAAAAAAAGGTTTCTGACATTTTTCCAAATAAACTGACACTTACTCCTGTCATCCAGTGAATAGTACGCTTAGATATTATAGGACTGTTCTTTATTTTCTACTTTAAGAAATAAGTTGGGGCGACTCTGATCAGTTGTGAACTGCAGAAAGTGTCTCTATGCATGTTCTGTACGTGTCATTTTCGTCTAAAAAGCCCCCGGAAAATTTACTAAAACTTGTTGATGAAAACAGTTTTGATGTTAAATTCGTGTAAGGATCTTTTGACCATGGACTACTGAATCAACAACCTATTCTTCGTTTTGGCTGTCATTAGTACTGAGCAATCCGTAACGGAGTTTTCATTTGTAACAAGCTATGAGCCAGACAACTATCGTATGAGGGCTAGTGATATTTCCCAATTTATTACCCAGACGGATATCGACGAAGCCTGGGAATGTTAGCCGACATAAGATTAGGTTGGAAAAGAGTTGGGGATCGTCGTACCAATGTTAACTGGTGGCATCAATCTATGAAATCTTCGACTACCCAGTATGAACTGCATATAAGGGAGGGGTGTAGATTGCCTGTTTGGCGTCCTCAGGATGCTAACAACCCAATGGCTGGAGGCTACTGGTAATATGACTCTAAATCGTTCTTAAAACGGATCAATTCTGCACTCATTTATTAACCCTCCTGTTTCTCCAATGTAACTATTCTTTCTCCCTCACATTTCTGCTTATTAAAAAGTACTTTGGAATCCTTTTGTTGTTCCACACCTTTGTGTGCTACAAGGAATGTAGCACAATCTTCGACTCCGTGGATCGAAAGGTACTATGGCAATGTTTGACTGTGAAGGGAGTGCCAAGAAAGTACATTGCACTAATCAAGGCACTCTACTCAAACTCACGTAGCCGTGTAAGGGCTTATGGGGAATTGTCATCTGAATTGTTAACAACCAGTGGTGTCCGTCAAGGATGTCCACTTTCCTTATTTCTGTTTAACTTCATCATAGATATGCTAATGGAAGCATCCTTAACTGAACTTAACGACTTAGGAATCGACTTGTTACCAGGGAATAGTCTTATGGACTTAGAATATACAGATGACATAGTCCTGTTAGGAGAGGACGCTGACAAAATGCAGAGTCTTCTGAAAACCTTGAGCAGCAATCTTCGTATGTTTGGCATGCGATTCGCCCCTGTAAAATGTAAGATGCTGCTACAGGACTCGACTACGTCTACCCCTAGCTTAGTAATAGGGAGTGAAGCGATAGAACATGTTGACCACTTCACCTATTTGGGAAGTTGTATCAGCACCAACGGATTGATTGGTGACGAAATCTCAGCACGCATCCAAAAAGCTCGAGCTGCTTTCGCTAACTTACACCATCTCTGGCGTAGGCGTGACATCCGGCTGTCAACCAAGGGATGTGTGTACTGCTGATCAGTTCGCTCCGTCTTTCTCTATGGCTCTGAAACATGGCCAATACGAGTTGAAGACATGAAAAGGTTGACTGTTTTTGATCATAGATGTCTACGATCTCTTTCTCACGTTAGGCGGTATAATAAGGTAAGTAATGTTGACGTTAGGCGTAGAGTGTTGGGCAAAGAAGGAAAATCAATCAACGAGGCTATAAAGTTACATAGATTCAGATGGCTAGGTCACGTGCTGCGTATGCCTAACCATCGCCTCCCCCCGACGGTCATTACTAGCTGATATAGGTGCAGGTTGGAAAAGAGTAAGTGGTGGCCAAACAAAAACATGGCCTCATCAATCCATGAAATCCTTGACAGTTAAACTGAGTCAGGTAGGGAGATGCAGACTTCCGGGTTGGGGCCCTCGGGACTCTAAGAATCAATGGCTGGAGACAATAGGTGACATGGCTCAAAATCGTTGTCAGTGGCGCAGATGTATTCAGTCTCTATGATCTTTCATACTCCTTTCTACCATTACTCATTCTGTTTCACTCTCATACTTGTCAAAACTCGATTGATTCTCTTCACTCATTTTCTTGTCTACGTTTGTGTGCTATTTGGAACGTGGCAACTGGAACTGCTGCACTTCGGTGCCAAGTTCTATGTTGAATCCAGACAGACAGAGCTACAAGGAATATAGAAACTAGAACTACTCCACACCTCTGGGCAAAGTTCTATATCGAAACCTAGTTAAGCTAATGAATCACCCCACCTATTATGAATCCGTGTCTAAGATTGTACACAATAGACACCGATCGCTACATGTGCCTGTCTAATGTCTGAAAGTAGATAGAAAAGGCAATGAGTAGTTTTCATGGACCACTATTACTACTACTAATCATACCAGTAGGGGTCAACTGATGATACCAAAGGGGCACCCACCCGAATGTGAATGAAATAGGGATTGTCAAATAAATAAATAAACAAAATAAAAAACATAAAGTACAATATATAAATAATGACAACACTGCTCCCACATACACATATTATGTATTTTGTAAAACAAGTAATAAAAGAAAGTCAATGATTAAAACCACCTTTACATATATATAAATCACTATCACATTTTATATAATTTATTACTAAAAGTGCTCTTTTTTTAAATAAAGACAGTGAGAACAGACACGTGACTTAAACAAGCATACTGTGAATAATATCAGGAATAATAATAATAATAATATTAATATTAATAATAAAGAAGAAGAAGAAAAATAACTGGAACAGTAGAAATCAGATATTATATATGCAAATAAAAGCACTAATATTATCATCAGTAGGACCAACTAAAATACCTAAATACCAACTAAGAGATCACTCGCAATCTAACCCCTTGATTGGTTGATTATTGTACCGCATACTGGTATCATCATTTGTGTGTGCGAGTGTGTGTAATAGATAAGTTACCGGACGAACAAACAAAGCAGATACCTTACAAACAGAATGATACTACTACAAAACAAAAATTAGATCATGGAAGCTTAGAAAATGTCAACGGTGCATAATATATTAGGGAAGTATAATCACCTTAGGTGGAAAAGTTCCTCCTTCAGAAGACACCCTCGCACGCCGTTCAGTCACTGTGACTGATAATTAAACACAGAAACAGACAAAAATTCGGCTGCCGGTGGTTCAAGTTTATGCAGTCGGTCGAGTAGGAAATCTCGGTCACACACACGACCTCGAGTCTACCACCAGGAATGTTGAGATGAGATTTGTACACGCAGATACACACACACACACCAAGTGTCGTGTCACTAGCAAAATATAAATTTGAAAATGTTGAGCAAGAACAAAATAAGGAAACCGAAAACCACAAAACATGATCAGAACAGACATGATCTGGACGAAAGAAAAAACACTGCGGGGGGAGGGTGAACTTTCGTTCCGAAATTAACAAAAAATAAGCCTCGGAAACAATTACCTTTATATGAAAGAGGGAGGGGGAGAGAGAGATAAAAAATGAAGCGAAATAAACAATCTTCACAGATAAACGAAAAATGTGAATAAACGTAGGGCTTCTCCACACCACTTAGAACGTGGTGAGGGGGTGACGGGAAATCATGATCACATGTGATGTGGAAAAAAAAAGATGAAGAGCCGATGAAGTGAGGCAATTACAGAAGTGATAAAGAGAGGGAGTAAGAATGGAGGCACTGTGGCTATTTTTTGTTGTTGTTGTTGTTAAATAAACAGTCTTTTAAGTATACACAGCATCATTTTATACAAACAAGGGAGAAAAATTGTCTGTTTGCTTGTTTGTCTTCTTTTTAAAATAAAGTTTGTGCATAAACATACAATTAAGCACAGCCAGAACGAAACTAACCCCCAAATATACGGCGGGTTAGATTTTTTTTTTAAAAAAATTGAGGAATGAATTTTCTGCTCAAAAGTCACAGAATATTATATATATCATATAATTAATATCAGTATTGCCAGAGAACAGTAGGAAAATCATCTACTTGCAATTCTTCGTTTTTAGATTCACCATTTTTGATAAACTGTAGACGAATCTTCATGCGCGGGCGAACCTGTACAATAATTAATCATCAAAATGTCATAATCAGTGGGAGAAATATACAAGATAGTAAGAGAAGTTATACCCAAACTAAGCGAGTTAAACAGCTGTCTGCCAGTACTCCCAGCTGGTCCTGTAACCAATCAAATCAAATCCCTGCAGACCAACACTTGAAAAATAATCTGATGCTTGCTGGTCATAGGATGGGGTTGTCTGGAGTTCTAGTGAGCAATCATGACCAGTGAGGTCCATCCGATCGGGAGTGAGGACAGATCAATTGCCGCCGATGACATTGGCTGGTGCCAGTCGCGCTAAAATCACGAATTAGTTAGAGTTCATGGACTGGCCACTGAGCTGCCTACCACCCAGTGGTTGAATGGTATACGAGCCAGCTTGCCTTGTAACCGGAAGGTCCTAGATTCAACCCACTCCCAGTGGTGGTTGAGTACTGCCGACGAGTCCCAAAACTAGGACGAAACAGCTATCCAGTACTCCCTGCTGATTTCCAAAGGTTCTTTAACTCATATCAATCCGTGGTCGAGCTTGAAACAAATCAAATTTCTACAAACTAACTCTTCAAGGTTACTACAGAGCTTACAAAAAAGGTAACTTTTCATTCATCATAAATGAATTTTTAAGATGTCAGATTACGGCTAGAATACGTGTATCAACGATGGCAAAATTCATATGTTTATTTCGTAGCAGAGAATGACAGTTTACGGAGTACTATTTTTTTAAAAATCGAGATTAACAATCCCAAATAAGCTAAAGGTAAACAAAATCTGCAACGGAGTAAGTATGTTTGCCTATAGTTCAAACATAAGATAATTAGCAAATACAGTAGACATCTAGATACAATACAACTATTTTATATAGAAGAAGTACAGGAAACACTGACATAGCAGCAAGCAGTTTACCTTCGGTGGAACAGTGACCTTCAACATTTGCGTCAACGGTACAGAATTTGGACCAGGTAGTATAACATTAGACGAAGGTGGGAGCAGTTGCAATTGACAGGATTTAGGCACTGCAGCCTGAAATTCAAAAGAGCTAACAGGGTGGATGCTTGTAGTAGTTGCCACCAACTGAATCGAAATCACATAACGTCCATCTGGTGCAGTGGAAGGAGATTCGAAGTTGAACACAATTTTCACCTCATTGGTATTGTAGATGGTGAGGGGAGGAACCTGTGTAACTATAAATACGTAATAGTTGTTAAAACAAAAGACTTATTAAACAACAATAATATACAAAAGACAGCACATATAGTTAGCACATTACATTATATGCAATGGTGATAAGTCTTTAAAATCATATAGCTGTATGGCCAGTAGACGACTGAAACAGATTAAAAATGTCAGTCTATAGAGCAATTAGGCTATAAAGCTTTTGAAATAGATGACTGAGTACAATCCGAGAAATGTATGTATGTATGTATTCACTGCGAAATGGTAGGTAAGTTGCCCGAAAGTAAACTGTTTACCGCTTTGAATATATTTGGATTATTCAAAATGCAAGTCTTCGTCAAAAGTGCACTATTCACGCGAGCAAGGTATAGTTTGAAAAGTGAACAAATTGGCAATCAAGCCCTACTTTTGCTCACACTGACAATCAGTAGCCTCAACAACTTACTAGGACTAGTACTACAACAAGATTAAGAAGAAGAAGAGTAAAACCCAAAAATTCCAAGTGAACAAACCCTGATTAGTAACACCTGCACATGAGTCACTGACAAAATTGAGGTCTAAGAGAGAAGGTTGCGTAGCAGGCTGAATTGTTGAAGCAGGAAAACCATTTTTTGAACTGAATAGATCGTTTGAAAGTCCAGGAATGCTTTGTGTATTGTTGTTGTGTTGCGGTACCACGGCGCCAGATGGAGCGAATGCATCAAGTAGATCCAGCAAGTGAGTGTTATTGGCAGAAGCATTTACCGTTGTATTCGTGGCCCCTAGTAAACAAGACAAGAGAAAGGATAAAACAAAACAGTTTACATATGCATGGTGGCAAATTGTGACTGTAAAAAAACATATTGGTGTCTACACTTAGAATCTGTCTTATGCAAAGAAATAGTATTCCCAAAGTTCTGATCATTGAAAAGCAACTGGTTGCTTGTTGACACTGGCGATGTAGGTCATAGATTAACGAAAGTTATGACAAACTCCATAGATTTAGAATAACTCACAGCAGCATTACACATCAAATGCATATATAACTGTTTTACTACAGTACACTTCAATTAGAGATAAAAACTCACCATTTTTGGAGTCGGATTCATTTTCTGGACCCAATAAATCAAAAATCGTAAGCGATTGAGTTTGAGCCGATGATCCATTGACCAATAAATCGTCTACATTTCCTGAGTTTAAACCGCCAATCCCGCCGTTAGTGTCATTTTCATCTACTGCGCGACCTTCACTGTCTGGATTCGAGGTTCCCGACAATGCTTTTGTCGACACTACTGGCATACAATCCAGTAAACCATTACGAATATTTGTAGGTTGACTACAAATTTTATTATATTCAACAGAACGTTGTTGAAGCTCCAGGTTAACATTGGTAGAGTAGAATTTGATCAATTCTCTTAGCTTCCTGTATGAAAAAAAAATAAACAATAAAGTTTAGAAAATCAGCAATTGCGATCGGAGGTTATGCATGAATTATGGTATATTGGAGCATATATAATGACGAAAACAGAATCTGTAGAGGATAAGATGAATCCACAACAGTAAATAACTAAATCGAATTTTGTGGAAAGTACACACTTCAGGAGAGAAAAGAACAAGAAGTTCAGCAAACTGATATCTTTTCGGCGATTTCATTACTTAAAAGCAGCTGTATAGTCACATTTATGTACATAGTTTATGTACAAGCTTACATAGATACAATTATTTTTATTATTTGATTCCACATAATAACGAAGGAGATTAAAGGTGATAATAATTTTCAGCTTGAGAGGAAGGTTCAAGGGTGTGAATATATATAACAAGGGGCTTAGAAACAAAATTACACAGGCGTGGAAAGTTAGTTGCGTTATTTGTAAAATAGGTGTGAATGGGATGACCATGGAAACAAACTGAAATAATACTTCTTATACCACGTTGAAAGCACCGGTTCTCGCCCGACCACCGAAGTGAAGCAACGTTGGGCCCGGTGAATACTTGCATACGTGACCGGCTGGGAATACCGAGTGTTGTCGGCATTTTTTGTGCGTTGGTGACACAGCGGTTAGGACTCTTGCCGACCATGCACATGGTTCGGGGTTCGACCCCCTGCCGATACACACCTGATATCAATGGTCGGCCCGTAAAATTTGGACTACCGATATCACATGCTGAAAATTCCATACGTTTACCAAAAATAAAATGGGGAATCAAGGTTCTATAATCAAAAAAATAACAATAAAAACCCAAAGGAATGAAAAAACAAAAAAAAGAAAGCTAATGAGTCAATCCAAACTAGATTTATGGTAAATGTGGTTGTCAAACTGGTTTCTTTTGAACACATATTTCTGGCTTTTCGATGGATATGGCGAGGGCTTCTGCAGTGCATATAAGTCGGAAACGCACCCCTATCCTAGATTTTTGTTTACTTTGCAAATGACACTCAATGGTAAGTCAGTTGATATGCTGTGATAGGTGTTGATGAGGTGTTTAATTATGGCGCCTCTGATTGAACCATTACCTCCTATCTCTACAGCCATTCTGGGTAATGTTCTCTAACACGTTTTGATAGGATACGCATGGAACAATATATGTACCTAGCTCCACACGAGCACGTGAACTGATAAATGCACACTGAAGTAGTCATATGCAGAAGTTTGTCCTTCTAAGCCCCTTGTAATTTATATTCACGCCTTCAAACATTCATATCGAGTTGAAAGTTATTATCACCTTTAATCTCCACCTTCGTTATTATGTGGAATTGGGTAATAGTTGTAGCCATGTAAACACGCATATAAGTGAGAGTGTATAGCTGCTTTTGGAAATGAAATAGCCGAAAAGATATATCGAATCTGACCTAGAGTTGTTACTTGAGCATGGTAATGACGCGACCGTACATCGATGACCCAACAAACTACGTTGGAATGCTTAAATTCCTTCAGTCTTATGACGCCAGAGAGATTAGTTTCGTAATGATAAGATGCTAAATTTCAGCACCATTATAGAGTGAACAGTTTCAAATATGACAAATATATTTGGAGGCATTAAAGTGCTAATTGGAAACAACAGGGTGGAAGATATTTCCATCCTTCCCCCCACTACCCCAAGTGACTAGTCGTCCAGCAGCTATGATGCTCCCTAATGATGACAAAAATAGATTGATGAAAAAGTGTTTGAAAAGAAAGTTATGCACTTCAACTTGCTTGCTTATGTAGCAGCTCTATATGCGGCCAGTGATAATGATCGTTAAAACTAGAGAGATAGCAATGACATCACGAATTTCGACACCCAACATTAAATAAACTGTTTTGTTAACTGGATCGTAGCAACATCAAGTGCAAGAGAACTGATGGTGAAAAGTATCATATATTGCCACCTTGAGGCATAAATAATCCTTTCATACATAATCACCAGCTTCTGGAAAGATAGAGCATAGAGCAACGGCTCACTACTATGCATAATTTGCAATAAAATACTTGATATGTGTATAGCGTGTTCCTATGCCAAGTGTAGCGTCATGTTACCACTACTAACAAGGACAAAATTTGCATACAGAATTAAATAATTTGTGCAACTGCGATTAACATACAAAAACACACAAAACTATGCAACACAACTAGCTTACTTACTCTAAATATGCTGGACTAAGACGTGTAGTCAACTTGACCAGTGCATTGATGATCATCTGTTTAGTTTGAATTGTTGACGCTACACTGACGAGGGCACGTTGTAACACGCTGATCAATTCCGCCTCTGTAATTGGATGTGGATTGTCTTCAGACGGTTCTGGTGAGACAAGCAGGTCGCCATACTCGCCAGCAGTCCAACATGCCACCTAAAGAAGACGACGTGTTTTACAAAATATAGGAGTTTTTTTTAGCCTAAATGTGAAAAAATACAACAGTATCTTTTTATGTTGTTTTCATAGACGAGATTAGTGAGTTGAAGAGTCTTCACATTTTTTGATTGATTATGAATCTTAGGATTTTGAATTCTTTTTTGTTGTTGCTTATTTTATCCCTTTGCGTCCCAAGTGGAACAGCACAGAGATCTAAGCAAGCTTGAGGTGTGAAGTTTCAGTAGCAGCAATGGTTCTTTTATTCTTTTACGGGGTGGGGTGGCCAGCCTCAGTCACACTCAACCTTCCCTCCCTACCTGTCTTACTACCACCGGCTAAGTGAGCTTAGAAGTGTAACTCCATTGTGGGTAAAGCCTCACAGTGTGCAGTGCAACTGCTGAACTTTTTTCCAAATTACTTATCTTCGCGGGGTCAATCATTCTAACCTTAGTTAAATTCTCATGTTCTGACAATCTGACTATTCCCGATCTACTAGTTTGGCCGGCGGTCGAACAACGCATACTGATACTGAAAGCTTGTTGAAACTTTTAAGCACAATTCCCTATTACGCCTACTCAATAACCACAGTATCCAGTGGCACCGTAGTGTATATATATATATATGAAAACCAGCCCTTATCGGAAGGCATATTGGGTGGTAAACGAGAAGGGTCATTTATGCATCTAACCTACATGTACACAATAAATGATGCACAGTAAATTCGCATTGTGCACACTCAAAACAGCATGATTTGGAAACATTTATTTCCCAATACGAGTTTAAAATAAGCCACAAAAATAGTTAATAAAGCAGGATTTAGTGAATATTCATCAAATTTTGGTAGAACTCTTCCTCAGTTGGATACTCTAAATACAGGGATATAAAATTCAGATGTGTTAGGGTTTAATTACATCAATCATTTTGATAAATAATTGTTTATTTCAGTGTATCCATCCATCCATCCATCTAAGGAAGAGTAATTCTACCGAAATTCGGTGAATTCACTAAATTCTGTTTTATTAACCTTTGCAAGAATTGATTTGTAAGGATTAGATCTGTTTTTCGAGTTTGACCACAGATTGATATCAGTTAGAGAACCATTGAAAACCAGTGAGGTGCATCCAGTCGGGAGTGAGGATGGATTTCCCGCCGATGACATTGGTTGGTGGTGGGAACGCTATAATCACGAATTGGTAGAAGTTGGAATTCATTCATGGGCCATCGAATCGGGTGCCAGTGACTGAATGGGTATACGATCTTGCCTTGTAACCAGGAGGTCCTGGATTCGAACCCCAGTGGGTGCGTACTGCCGACTATTAACCTTTGTCGTTTGTTTTAAGGCAAGATTTTATAAAAATTAGATGATAAGTAAAAAATGAGATGTCCTCTTGTTTAAATTATGTATGTAGCATACGTTCATATACTAAATATCACTGAGACCTAAAAAATAATGTATAACAGTTAGAATAGCCCGAGGAAACTAAGCCCGGCATGATGACTTGCATCACTTACGTCTTCAGCGTCAATATTTTTTTAACAAAAAAATACTGTTACAACTAACCTGAACTAAAGGTTGCTGGGACATAGCCTCCTTCATAGCGGTGAACAGCTGGACAGTAGCATATGCATGTAGATTAGGATTCTGGGAGATTAGACTAACCAAAGAGGAGACAACATCGTCACGTGCGAAGTTTCCAGCCTAGAAGAGAAGCACAATAACAGTGAACTTGGGAATGCAAAGCTTGATAAGCAGAAATGGTAAGTTTAACATACAGCAATCAACCGATTAATTTGAATTACGCATGTGCCAGTGTAGTCAAACATGCTCATGAAGTGTAGTAGTCTTGGTTCAGTTCATTACAAGATACATTAGCCTAAACGTATGGTAGTATGTGAATAATATTCGAATAAACCGCCAGAATACGCTGTATATTTTTCCACTAATTTGACTTATTATGCTTAATAACTATTTTTGTGAGGACGATTATACCAGATAAAGTCAGTTGGTTGACAATAGCTCTGTTTTTGTATACCATTACATCGTCGTATTGCACGAGTAAGACTAGCGGTTTATAGACACCACCCTCATGTTAAGTGGTACAATATGGTGAGTAATACTCATGATAGACGTAGTATTAGCTAAGTAAAAGAAGTTAGTCGATGAGGTTGTGCAGGTGAATCCAATCAGTCACGCGTTACGCATCCCCAGCCATCGACTTTCCCGACGAGGAATGTTATTAGCCAGCACAAGATTAGGTTGGAAAAGAGTTAGGGGTTACCACACCAAAACCTGGAATCAGTCCATTAAGTTTTTGACAGTTATTTCGAGCTGTCCACATGGAGGTGTAGATTGCCTGGTTGGGTTCCTCGGGATGCTAAGAACCGATGGCTGGAGGGTTTTGGTGATATGACTCAAATTAGTTCTGAATGGTACACATGCAACCAGCATCCGTAATATCTGATATCCCCTAAAGCTTCATGTTTCCCCACATTTCAGCTTATCTCTTTTTTCTCTATTTGTGTGCTACATGCAGAGTGGTGACTTAGACTGCTGCATTTCTGTGCCAAGTTCTCTGTTGAAACTCAGGTTTATAAACAATGCTTCAATTTCTAAAGAAATATAAATTCTTGGGTTGTAAGAGCTACAAACATTAGCAGCATTGAGCAGTAAACTGAAACCTAAAATTGAACAATGCCTGCTATTTCACGTAACTGTGAATAATAAATGATAATATAGAAACAAATTTCACCAGAAAACTCACAGTAGTCAGTAGCTTCATCATAGTATCAGTATGCCATTTCTTGTTAGGAGCATATTTCTCTGCTGCAATTGAAATGTTGGAACAGACATCCCCTTTGAATTCATTATCACAGCGTTCTAGGTAAAGCAAGAGCTCTTTGACCATTGCACAAACATTTGTATGGTTTGTTAAAGCAAAGCACAAGTCGATGGCACGTCTATCATCAAAGTATTGTTTTTTGTATCAAAAAGAAGAAAGAACAGTATCAGTCAAAATGATAACATGAAGTTTGATTATTGTATTCTTATTTAAAGTTACTATTATTTCCTTGGAACCTTGTCTAGTTTACTAACTCGCTAGATTGCTAGCCGGTCCCAAGCCCAGGAGAAGAGGGAGGGTAGGGCGTGGGGATTGCAACCCCACCCCACAAAACCAATCAAACGGCTACAGAAACTTCAAAGCACAAGAAAAATATTGAAAAATACAACAAAAAATTTTTAAATACTTATTCTTCTCTGGAATAGGAGAGGCGAAATAACAGAGTAGGCTGGTAAAAGCTTTCGGGAAGCCAATCAGTCAGCTGATGTGTCTTCCTCCGACGAAAGCAAGAATAAGAATGGGGACGTGGAATGTGCGTACAATGTACGAGGCTGGGAAGGCTACCGAAGCAGCCAAAGTAATGAGAAGATATGGTATGGAAGTGCACGGAATCTGCGAGAGCAAATGGAATGCATGGATGTGCATTATTGAAAATGTCAACTGGAGAGTCAGCAATCTACTCCGGTTTTGTTACCCAGATGACAACCATTATTATTATGTCACCAACAGCAGCCGAAGCCTAATACAGTCACCCAAACTTGAGGACTTACAGGCAAAGGATCAACAAACTGGCAGAAGAGGTTGACACCAAAGACAAAAGTTCAAGTGAACATAGAGAAGGTGGAGACGGAGGTGATGAAGATAACCACCACCCACCTACAGCAACAACAAACAGCACCAACCACCATCAATCAACGGAAGAAATTTGAAAGAACTCCCTTCATTCACTTATCCAGACAGAATCGTTTCAACTACAGGTGGTAAGGATGAAGAAGTCAAAACCGGAATCGGAAAGGTAAGACAAACCATCTCTTCGAAATCAGTTTGGATATTTTCGTTCAGAATAAAGAACGAAATTGCGATTCTCAACACCAATGCTGCGTCAGTTCTTCTACACTGGTCAGAAACTTGGCGCATTACAAAAAGCAATTCGAACTGCCTATTGCAGACTTTTATCAACAGCTATCCTCGCTCAATATCGACGATTAAATGGCTGGTGGAAAGAATCACCGACAAGAAATAATGGGAAAAACCTAACTAATTACCTATCGTTCAACAAATATTTAGAAGAAAATGGAGGTGAGTTGAGTACACACTGTGGAGACCGTCAAATTACACTTCACACGTCAGACCATCGCTCTCGTGGAACCCAAATGGGAAGCGATGAGTGGGTCGTCGCTTCCAGGGTGATGTAGAGGAAATCGTGCAATGAGGAGATGAGAGATCATGGGCGATCGTGGGCCCAGCTAAAGGGGACAGAAGAAAATAGAATAAAGTGGAGATGTGTTGTTGAAGTCCTATGTTCCACTTTGAACCCAAGGAAACAGTAATAATATTAATATTAATAATATTTCCTTGGATTTCGGTGGGAACATGAGGCTTCAACAGAACAGCTCCACAAATGCCCATAATCTCTTACCTCCTTGCACGATTTCCTCTATGTAACACTCGGACCCACGGCCAACCAGCAGTTTCCCAATCGGATTCCGCTCGAGGGTCTTTCTGATGCGTAATGTCACTCAATGGTCTTCTCAGAGTGATTCCGATTTATCTCCACTTACATTATGTCTTGCGAATACTACTGCTAATAATACCAGTAGTAGTACTAATACTGATCAATACACAGACATAGAATTGAAGGTGAGGAATAAATTTATTATCTATTATTCCCTTGAGTTCCGAGTGGAACATAGGGCTGGCTTCAACAACACATCTCCACTTTGTTCGGTTTTCTGCCGTCCTCTTCAGCTGGGTCCACGATTGATCAAACTCTCTCATCTCTTCCTCACACGATCTCCTCCATATCACCCTCACACCGACGACCCACTCGTCGCTTCCCATTGGGATTCCACTCGAGCAATGGCCTGGCGTGCGATGTCATTCGGTGGCCTCCTCAATGTATACCCGATCCATCTCCACTTTCTCCTACATATTTGTTGAGCGATCGACTCTTGGTTCGTTTGTTCCCAGAGTTTCTTGTTGCTTATTCTTTCTGGCCATTTGATCTTCAGTATGGAGCCAGCGAAGGCAGCTGTTGATGAAAGTCTGCAACCTGTTGGAAAACATTTCCGTGACACGTAGTGCAAGTTTCTGACCCGTATAGAAGGACCGACTTCGCATTGGTGTTGAAAATCCAAATCTTCTTTATGCTGAGTGCGGAAGATTTCCAAACTGGTTTCAGGTTGATGAAGGCGTATCTTGCCTTTCCGATTCTGACTGGCTTTGACATCTTCATCCGTTCCGGTTGTAGTTGAAACGATGCTTCCTAGCCAGATAAGTGGAGGCAACCTCTGTTAAATCTCTCCCGTTGATGGTGATTGGTGCTGGTTATCGCCGTTGTTGTTGCGGTCCGTTGGCTATCTTCATCACCTCCGTCTTCTCTGTGTTCACCTGCAGTCCTGTTTTCTCTGCCTCTTCTAGCCAGTTTGTTGGTTTTCGCTTGCAAGTATTCGAGTTTGTGTGACATTAGACATATATCGTCTGCGAAATGCATAAAGTGAAAATATTAAGTGTGTGATAATTTGAACTCCAGTTATAACACAGTCATCACTCCAAAGTTACAGAACAAAATACATATCAAAAATGGCTTAAGAAGAGAAAACTCTATCTCGAGTGAAAAGAACAGAAAGTACATAGCCTGAATACCTTTTATGCTGACTGACTAATTAATTCGTCCTAAAGATAACAGTAATACCGTGGTAATAAATATATCAGTGATAAACATCTTAGAAATGAAAATTAATTATTTTGAAAAGCATTGCACTTCTATTCACAATATTGCTTATTATAGTTTACTAACCTTTGAATTGATACATCAGGATCCTTTAAACAGTCCAGGATTGTCAATCTATGTCTCTGTACGGCTTTAGAGTCAGCATGAACAACTCGTAACAAAGTGTTGAGTGCTACATAACGTATATCTTTGTCCGTGTTCAGCAGAAATCGACCCAAAATGTTGACAGCGAGGACCTTTAACGAAAAAATAATAATATATAAATCAAAATGAACAACTTAGTAAGCTGTGGCTTACACTGCAAAACGTTCAGAAAAATCTTGTTTTGATTTTTTCTTAAACACGCTGGGATTAATTTAAATAATTTATAATGAATCAATCTGACTCGGCGCTCAAATTATTCCAGGAAGTCCGTAACACCTACGGCCTAGAAACTTATAACTTGATAAACTGTTTTAGGAAGGACGCGGCTGCTAAAATGTAGTGTTTTTGTTTATAATTAACGACATTTATTGCAGGGACCTTCTGTAAAAAAGGAGGTTGAATTTTCAGTCAATAAGTATGCAGTACAACAGTAGCAATCAATGAAGTGATCATATGTGCTGACCACTTCACCTATTTGGGAAGTTGCATCAGCCCCAATGGAATGATTGCTGATGACATATCTCAGCACGGATACGAAAGGCTCGTGTGGCATTTGCCAACTTACGTCATCTTTGCAGTAGACGTGAAATCCGGATATTAGTTGGCTGGCTGTGAGACACTACTACTGATGTAAGTGGAAGAAAGGTTAGTTGTCTTTGGTCATAGGTGTCAATATTCTATCTCTCGGGCTAAGTGGTTAGAGTACGGTGACTAATATTGATATCACGCGTAGAGTGTTAGGTGATGAGGGTACATCGATTGTGATGGCTAGGACATATGTTACGTATGCCCAGCTATCGTCTTCCTTGATTGTCAATGTTAGCTGACATAGGTTTAGGTTGGAGGCAGTCAAATGAAGCTTAGGCATCAGTCCATGAAGTCCTAGTTTGAGCTATGTCAGCGGGTGTAGACCATCTGATTGGGGTCCTTGAGATTCTAAGGACCAGAGGCTACAGACTACTGGTGAAATGGCCTGAATCATTGCCACTGACGCAGGTGCATTTACATTTTGTCATCTGCAGTATCTAATAAAACCCGATTGTTTTCCAAAGTTATTATTCTTTCTTCGTCCATATTTCTGCCTATTGTAGTCCTTTTGGAACCCTTTTCTATCTTTTGTCTGCCTTTGAGTGTTACATGGAATGTGGAAACTCGAACTGCTGCACTTTTTCTGTGCAAGATTCAGTCAGTCAGTTGCAATCAGCTCCAATCTAGTGAATTTTACAATAACTTGCTGATGATACCGTCTGGTCGTCCAAATTCTGATAGGTGGATGACATTTCATGCTTGTAAAAAACAAACACACACACATAGCGGTCAACAGTCATGCGTCTAGACTAATCAGTAATCCGGCAAAGTTCAACCGAAATGCTACTACCATGGTCACCTCTACTAATCAACAAGCATTTCTGTTCATTTATGTGTATAACCAAAGGGTACTGGTGAACAGCTGTTAGCAGTCGTTGTATATTTAAACGATTTCCCAAGCATGTGTATATTCGCTCAACAAACGACCGGAAAACTCTTCAAAGTATCGACAATGGAATACAGTTAAACAACAACTGCACAACCATCAGCTTTAGATGCAACTAATCAGTATGCATATTTTGGTGACTACTTTCAAATGACAGCAGATAGGCAAAATACTACGCAGCGGTATTACGGAAACGTTCCACGACAATAATTAATATGCAAGAAACTAACAGACAGTAGCAGAATAAAATTTTAGCAGCTGGTTGTTTTTAAGGTGATAACACTGACAAAATGCAGTTGAATCTTCTAAACACATCGAGGAGCAGTGATTTTCAAATTTTTGCATGCGATTCACTCATGCCGTCAGACGTAGGATGATGATGCCACAGGACTGGCCTACATAGACTCCTAACTTACAGATATGGGGGATGTGAAGTGGTAGAACGTATTGTGACCACTTCACTTATTTGCGAAGTTCCATCAGCCAGTCCAGGCGGGTTGATAACTGACGAAATCTCACCATGGACACGAAGACTCGTTTGCCATTCACCAACAACTTACACCATCTCCAGCTTGGTAGACGTGATATCCAGCTGACTATCTGGCAGTGTGACTGGTTGGTTGTCGACAAAGGACATACGCGTGTACTGCTCAGCAGTTCGCTCCATCCTCCTTTATGGTTGGCTGTGAGCGAGATATGGCCATTGGAAGTGAAAAACATGAAAACGCCGGCCAACTAGCTGTCTTGCATCATCACTGGTGTCGTCTGCCTTTTATGTACATCCCGTGCTAGGTTAGGTGGTAGGTGTAGTAGGGCGAGTAATATTCAGTTGGTGAGGCATCGGTCGAGTGAGTGCTTGCTTGCTAAGGAGGAGGGAAAATCAATCTATTAACGAGATTGTCAAGCAGTTACATCGATTAAGTGACATGGTTAGGACATGTGCTACGCATCCCTGTCTAGCCGCCAATCACCTTGCTTTCCCCTACTTCCTCTACACGGAATGTTAGCTGATATAGGATGGATCAGGTTGGAAAAGAACTAGTGGTGGTCAAACGGAAGCATTTATTCATCAGTCAATCAGATGCATAAAAACAGTTATTCTAAGTCAGTCAGTCAGCCAGCCAGCCGGTCACGTAATGAAGTGTAGACTGACTGGTTGGGATCCTCAGGATGGTGACGACCAGTGAAGGCTGGTGACAATTGTTGGTATGACTGCCTCAAAATTATCCTTCTCAGTGATGGAGAAGATGATGGATTCACTCTTTGTCACTCCTCATATCCAGTGAAACCCTGCTGCTCTTCTACTATATTACCATTCCTTTTCCCTCACCTACACTTCTGTTTATTCTCTCTCTCTCTCTCTCTCTCTTATGAGCGTGTCTCTACTCTCTTCTCTTGCTTTGTGTGCTACATGGATGGGGGGAGGGTGGCAATTCGAACTGCTGCACGTCTGTGTAAAGTTCTGTATTGAGACCAGTCAGTCAGTCAATCAATCAATCAGCTGGTTGTTTACAATACTATAATTACAAAGACATACTCGTAGTCCAGGATCTGATTCGATTCCCATAATAGTTAAGACAATTTCGTAGAGAATTGCATGACCAACATTTTTACTCGTCTCCGTGTTCGTGGCTACCTGTAAAGTATGACAGAAAAACCAAATCGTTTAAGAATGATGATAGGCAGTAACACAAAACATCTATTAAGTATCATTGCTTCTCATCATCCAGGAACAATGAATTTAAGATATAAAGATTCAAATTATGATGAACTCCATAACTAATGAGTTTAAGTGTAAATGAGACTTGAGGTGGATGCCTGCAAAGTGTTTTTTCAGCTTATTTGCTTTCCTGTCTTAAGACATGGTAACTTAAACTGGGGTATAGTGTTTTTTCAGAGTCGGATCAAGATCTCGTAAATGAATTAATGCACTGATTCAAACATGTGAAAAGTTATTGCAAATCGAATTTGCCGCGCTTTTGACCCAATATACCTGAATAGACAGGTCGGAGGTGATCAATTACGACTCGAAATTCTTCAGGTGGTTGGTCGATTTCCTATTACATACCTACAGGAATGCTGTTAATCATCATCAGATGTTATTACATTTGGCTGCTTTAAAGGTGTTATTTCAACTTTTTGTTTTAGTGTCAACGTGGCTCACTGGTGACTTAAGCCATCAGCTTTCAGTGGGTCGGTGGGTCCCAAGTGCGAATCTGGCTACAGCTACCTCACAGCCTGGTGGACAATCAGGTAGTATCACTCAGTCGTCACACAATAAAAGTGTGTGCTGATAGTCTGGGACATAAAAGACCAGTTTTGAGTTTTTTTAGAAAAAGCAACTTTTTACGACACAGTCGGAATATCTCTGTACACCTCACCGGGAACATGATATAAGATGTATGTGATTTCGGATGACGACCGGCTAAAAAAGAGGAGTGTTAATTAGCAAATAACCTCACGACGTGTAGAATGCTGATTATTAGAACCAATTTTTACGTGGAAACATTGCTTTGTTTACTGACTTTGTAAAGACAAAAACACTGTTCTTTAGAAGGCGCGAAATTTACGAAAAGTAAACACAGAATTATATAAAAAATCTGGAGTAGAACAAAGTGACACGATCAGTATGTGTAATTTCATATTGATTTGTTTATTGGATATATAATACATAGTGACAACAACTGGCAGTTTCAACCGATCAACCATGGACCTCGTGAGTAACAATGTTTCACTGTGTGATGGTATCCGATAAACAAATGCCGAGCTCATCATCAAATCTGTAACCAATTAAATCCCTGCAAACCAACGCACTTGTCAATTAATTTGATGCTCACTATCGATTGGCTGTATCTGTATACAGTAAGTCACTTGGAGTTCTCGTGAGAATTCGTGACCAGCGGGGTCATTCAAGTCAGGGGTAAGGTGTCAGTTATTCGCTAATGACATTAGCTGGTGGTTGCGCTATACACGTCACAAAATGGCAGAAGTTGGAGTTCATAGGCCACTGGATCGGGTCCCATTAGCTAAATGATCTACGAGCTTGCTTTGTAACCGTAAGGTCCTGGGTTCGAACCCCCCCACCGGTGCGTACTGATGAAGAGTCCCAAACATTTACAGAACAGGTATTCAGTACTCCTTCGTTTTCCAGTTTTTCCCTGATTTATATTAACTCATGATCGAACCAATCAACAAATTGGTGTAAAACTAAGATAATAAACCTCACATTAATGATCACTATTCGGATCTGATAAACAAGCGCGCTAAAAACAAATGCAGTTCTTCTGATAAAATCACAGTGTTTAAATATTACAATACTATATTAGCACTTTAATCAGTTCAGACTTACTTGTGCAAGAATATCATTCATCGCCTCACTGGCAGTTTTGTCACCATGTCCTAAAACCCGCATCAGCCTTAATATTTTCACCTACATATTAGAGGAAAAATAATATTTGGGTGATAAACGAAGTGTTGGACGACTTCAATTAATGTAAAAAGCAATGATTCTGTGTAGGTCTTCTCTCAGACCTAGTCTGCTACCATTTTGCACTGCTGACAGCAACAACAAAATTAAATTAAACCTCCCTATCAGTATATCATAAAAATAATGAAATCAAGTTAATAACACTCTTCAACTGGCTCCAAAATTGGCCGTAAGATTCCTTCTCCTCCTCACGTGATCACCTCTATGACACTCTCGGATCCAAGACCACTGCAGAATCTGCCTGACGCGCGATGTCATTCGACGGCGTCTTCAGTGTGTTTCCAATCCACCTTCATTTTCTTCAGAATATTTCTTCAGCAACAGGTTCTTCATTACCTCATCACCTGAGTCCACAGCGGATAATTCTTTCCACCAGTCATCTCATCTTCAATATGAAGACAGCCAACGAAGGCGCCAGCTGTGGATAAAAGTCTGCACTGGCCTGTTACAAATACCCTTCGTGACAGGTGAGCCAAGTTTCTGATCCATATAGGTAGAAGCACTAACTGGCTGACTTAACATTGGTGTTGAAAATCCGAATCCTGTTCTTTATGCTGAGAAGCGCGAGAGATTTACAAACTGGTTTCAGAATGATGAAGGTGTGTCGTGTCTTTCTGAGCCTGTCTGATTGGCTTTGACATTGTCATCCGTCACTCCGCCTGTAGTTGGAACGATGTTCCCTAGATAAGTGAAGAAAGTGATTTCTTTCAAGTTTTTTCAGTTGGTAGTGATTGGTACTTGTTGTTATTGTTGGTGGTTGGTTATCTTCATGACGTCTGTCTTCTCTATGTCAACTTGAAGTCCTCTCTTCGCTTCCTTCTTCTTCTGCTAGTTAATCGGTCGTCACCTGTAAGTCTTCGAGTTTGTGTATTATTAGACACAAAACATCCACGGAACAGTAATACGTCAGTCTAACTGAACAATCTACCTGAAGAAAAATGTCATAGAATGACTAACCACATACGTTGTAACTGGGCTCCCTGTCTTACATCCTTTTTATCACATAACTTAGCAACCAAAAATACACAAGTAATTCATTCAAACAATTCTCAGTAGATTTCAAATGACGTTCAATTTCTAATTTCACACTTTAACAGTCAATGTAATGCAAAAAACAGAAGGATTTAAAAGAATTCACACGAGAAAGATGTACACGGTCAATATCATCAAAACTAAGCTATTAATTAGTTTCATTGTGTAGCCATAGACAACTGCTTACCTGGAGAAATGGATCGCTTATTTTATTTACGTCGTGGTCCGGTGAATACCCTGTCATAATGAGATTCTTCAATGTACGTACTAATGTGGGAACCAATTGCTAAAGGGTACAAAAGCATAAAAGTAAGATTAAAAATTTTAAGGTAATGGGGGATAGATATATGCAGATAAAAAGTTTTTGGTTGGACACTAATTAACCGGTGTAATATGTCTAGTCCTCTACTTGGTGCAGACTGAATTACATCCGTCCAGTTCTCAATATGGCCACCATGCTAGGGTGGCTCGCCACATCACAGTGCACCATGGTCACCTAGCATGGTGGCCATATTGAAAACTGGACGGATGTAATTCAGTCTGCACCAAATAAAGGACTGTGTGTATGATACTGGTTACCACCCAGTGTCCAATCAAAGTATCCCATACAGTCCTACAGGAGGTCAATCGCGAGCCCGAATAACTCATTGGTAACTTCTCACTGCAGTATTAAGTGACAAACGTCCGAATCTCAGAAGGGTCGGGATTTTCTTCAAGCTTACTGATGCACCTTGCTGATTGGTGAATACCAACAAGCACGAAACCTAGATCTAGGTTCACGGCTTTCTGCCTATTGCCTCCAACCGTCTAATATCAGATAATAGATGTTTACAAAATAACCACTGGAATATATATACTACCAATAAGTGATGCATAATCTTTAGTATTATTAGGTATCTGATCTCAATATACTCCCTGTTTACCAGGAATGCGAAGTGAACCCGTTACTCAATATGAGAAGCCTATGTTAAGAAACCTCAGATAGAGTGAGAGCGTACATCCACCTAAAAATAGTGTTTCAGACCAATATGGTATGGACTGAGAGAATTGTTCAGTTTTGTGCTACTTCCGTTTAACTTCTTCATTGACGATATTCTACAAATACTTATGAAATACATATGCGTAGCGATGGTGTAATTGTGCAACTTGGAGAAAGATTGTTTAACCCCGAGTATTGACTGACTGGTTTCAACATAGAACTTTGTACAGATGTGCAGCAGCAGTTCAAGTTGCCACTCTCCTTCCCTCCATCCAAGCAGCACACAAAGCAAGAGAAGAGAGATAATAACCTCAAGGAGTAAATTTTAGTTCGCTTATTTGTTCCCTATTATTCATTAATGACATCCCAGGTTCCCTAATATTATTTTTATTTCATTTTGTTAGACCAGTTTTTTACAGCAAGTAACAAAAGCAGGATTTAATGAATTCATGAAACTTCGGTAGAACTCTTCAGCTGGGTACTCGACATGTAGGGATATCATCATATATATACTGTTACAACTATATTGGTGGTTATAAGATTGATAAGATATCAGGAATTTCTAACTAAACACCACAAAGTGTTTGCTTCAACAATCTGCGAAAGACCAGTATTCGCCAACTCTCGACACTTCAAACTGCCTATAATCAATTTGAGTGTGTTTCTGGAAGTAAATACATAGGTCATACACAAAGGCATTTGTCTACTCGCATCATGAAGCATTTGCCAAGGTAGTTGATAACAACTGAAGTCAGTGGCCAAAAGTGCAATAACAAAGCATCTTGTGGACTATGGACGTGGCATTGACGCTGTCAAGTGGTTTACTGTTGTCAGCAGATAGATAAACAAATAAACAGGAGGATCCTTGCATTCGAGGAGGCCTGTGAAATTCGAGTTTATAAACCAAGCCTCTGTGTACTTAAGGAAATTGTCGTCACTCTGAATCTACCATAGTAACATATTTTGTTTATGAAATGTTACTATTATTAATGTTTTATTCTGTATTTTATTCTACCGCTTATTATTACTATTTGTGATTCATTTAAAACTACCTCTTATCATTACCATTATCTTAACCCGTTTTAACATTATTATTATTATTAAACTGGTAATTAATTCTTGATATAATTTGGTTCTTTCACTCGCTGATATCTAACTGTTTATTTAAGTGATATCACCGAACCGCATAATGCATTTTATCTTAATTTTATATCCCTGTATGTAGAGTATGCATCCACCTGAGGAAGCGAAAATTGATGAATTTATTAAATCCCGCTTTATTAATACCTTTTGTGGTTTGTTTTGAATTTGTATCAGGAAATTAATGGTTTCCAATGTGTTAACGCGCTAATCACGAATCGCACTTCGTCAATCGAAATGTTGACTGGATGACTCAACGGAGAGCAATCGCTAATCTGTCTGTGAAAACCACATATCCGATACTTTAAAAATGAAATACTATTAGAAAGCCTGTTTTCGCGATCAGTAGGATACAGCAGATTGCCTATGAGGACAAATATTCGCCGCCAATGATATTGCCTAGTGTCAGTGGCGCCATATCATGAGTGAATCGACAGAAGTTGGAATCCATGAGATGGCTACTGAGTCGGGTTCCAGTGGTTTAATGGTCTACGAGAATGCTCAACTTATAACTGGAAGGTCCTGGGTTCGAACCATGACCGTGGGTGCACACTGATGAACAGGCCCAAACTAGGCGAGTGAAACAGATGTCTGACAGTACTCCCAGCTGGTTTTCCAGTGGGTCTCTAACCGATGTCAGCTCACGATCAAAATTCTGTAACCGATCAAATCAAATCCTTGCAAACCAACACTTGAACAATTACAATAATTAATCGATAGGTAATATGATATATTTAAGATGAAAACATGTACAAATAACCTCACCTTACGAAAATAACCCAACGTATCGGGACTACGTTCACACATTTCTTGAATCAAACAGATAGTAGCCAGTAATACACCGTGATTTTTTTCAGTTAGAAGTGAGCGCGTACAAGGTATGAACATCTCCATTAGATCAGGTACCTTACGAATAATTTGGAAGGCACATAATGCCGCCTGTTGCGATGAAATACAAAAGGTAAAAAAGACCACAAATTTCAATCAAAAGTGATGATTCGATTTTGGAAAAGTTCTGAAAAAGCCTTTGACAGAGTCGACTACGAAGTAATAACCTGTAGACTGCTTTAGCACTACGGAGTGCCCCAAATATCTGTCAGCCTCATTCAACAGCTATGTTACAATGCCACATGTCAAGTGAAGCACGACGGAAATCTCAGCGAAACCTTTGAAGTGAAGACAGAAGTAAGATAAAGGTACTTACTATAACCGATGATATTCCTGATTACAGTGAACTGGATTATGCGATACACCGTGCGTGAGGAGGGAGAAGTCAGAAATACGTTGGACCGATAAGAAGACTCTAAAAAATCTGGAGTTCGTGGACGATTTATGTTCAATGTCACACAAACTCGAAAACTTGCAGAGGAAGACCAACAAACTGGCATAAAAGGTAGGTAGCAAAGACAGGACTTCACTTATCTAGGAAACGTCGTTTCAACTACAGGAGGAGTGACGGATGACAATGTCAAAGCCAGTCAGACAGCCTCAGAAAGGCATGACACACCTTCATCATTCTGAAATCAGTTTGGAAATCTCCCACACTCCTCAGTATATAGAACAAGATTCGGATTTTCAACACTAATGTTAAGTCAGTCAGTCAGTCAGCCAGTTAGTGCTTCTGCCTATATGGATCAGAAACTTGGCTCACCTGTCACGAAGAGCATTTCCAACAGACCAGTGCAGACTTTTATCAACAGCTGGTGCCTTCGTTGGCTGTCTTCATATTGAAGATGAGATGACTGGTGGAAAGAATTATCCGCTGTGGACTCAGGTGATGAGGTAATGAAGAACTTATTGCTAAAGAAATGTTCCGAAGAAAATGAAGGTGGATTGGAAACACACTGAAGATGCCTTCGAATGACATCGTGCGTCAGGCAGATTCTGCAGTGGACTTGGATCCGAGGGTGTCATAGAGATCACGTGAGGAAGAGATGAAAGCCTACGGGAAGTCGTGGAGCCAGCTAAAGAGGACTACAGAGAACTGGAGAAAATGGGGATGCACTGATATAAGAATAAAACTTGGGCACTGTGGTAGAGTGTAATTCCATTATGGGTAAATTTTATTTTGATAGAGTCTCACAGTGTTTTACAGTAATATTTACTGATCAGTAAATATTACTGTATAACACTGTGAGACTCTATCAAAATAAAACTTACCCATAATGGGGATGCACTGTCGAAACGCTATTTTTTTCTCCAAACTCAAGGGAATAATAATAATAATAATCCACGCTGAGAACTCATGACATTTCAGAACTAATTGGGAACCTTGAACCAGTATGCAATATGAACTGAATAAACCTGGAATACTTTTGACTGATATATAGGCAAACATTTCAACTGTGTCAAATACTGAAAAGCTTTTCTCGCTGACTAGATATAGTGATCCGTGATAAAGATGATGATCTATAAAAGAGGCCTTATGAATAAAAATTTCAAGTTAGAAAGTACTTATTTGTGGCATTTCTAAAGTGCTACACTGGCAAATAAACGCCGAAGGGTAGTAATATCAATACGAACTTACACACACACACACACACACAATCCAGCTGTAGGGCTAAAATTCGCTGCTAAGGGGATTTTAATTAATCGAAGATGACAAGCTTGATTACACCACTCCACCTCCGTCAAAGGCTGAATTTGATTTCCCTTTAATTCTCTCCTATTCCATAGAGTGATATTCTCATAGTAGTCAGCTAAGACACGATAATGAACAGTTTTGAAAACTTAATCATTTTGGACTATTTTATCCACTACAAAGAACATACTCAGTTAACTAGTTGCAGCAGACAGCAGTTTGCTTCTCGCCGCCTTCAATATTTTTTTTTATCCAAGTACGTCGGACTCTCTCTCTCTTCAAAAAACCTTGGACTGGACAAAAACTTTACAAATACGCGTATATCTCCAATGAGTTCCAGATTGTAGATACGCCTTGCTGACTGATGAGTGCCAACAAGCACTAAACTTAGGTCCAAGATGTCCTGTCGATTGCCCCCCCCCAACTGTGTGAAAACAACAATTCATCTGTGCTTTCCACTTACAATGCGAATAGGAACGGTTAGTGGTTTCTTATTTTCTACTTCGCATAATCAAGTTGTACGGCTTAAATAATTTGCGATATGACACTTATTCATTTATAAGTGGTTTGAGGACAGTTGTCAGTCGACTATATGGTGAATTACACAATTATATATTAATTGTACCGCGTGCTACTGACAAGAATCTATGCGTAGCATATTGTGTATGTGTGTGTTATCTTCAGCACGAATCGTGAATAGCTGAGAGACAGATTAAGTTGGGAAGAGCGAAAACACGAAGATACTTCTTGTGGAACATTAGAGAAAGTATGGAAGGTAGACGAAAGACGCAGCAGACTACGAATAACCTTAGCACGTTAAAATTTCAATGCTAGGTTTTGTATTTCACCCTCATTACAGATTATTCTGTTAAATAAACGATTTTGCTACCGAATACCACTGTATTATTATTATTCCCTTGGGTCCCCAGTGGAACACAGGGTTTCAATAGCACATCTCCACATTGTCGTACTCTTTGAGGTTCTCTTCATCAGCTCACCCCGCGATTGCTCGTAGTTTCTAATCTCTTCTCCTCACGATCTCCTCCAGATCATCCTCAAACTCACGCCGCACTCGTTGTTTCCCCGACTCATCTTCCACTCAAGCAATGGCCTGGCGCGTAATGTCACTCAACGGTCTCACCAACGTGTGTCCCGCCGTTATACGCTCACCCGTCATGTAATATGCCCATCCTGAACCAAAAGCACCAAATTTGCACAGAAGAGCTATTCAATATCTTGCACTTCACAAAATATTTCTACAATTCATATCGATTTGCAAAAATCACCTACCTTAAATTAATTCACCCTTCACTCGTATGTTATCTACCAGTTGGAACAGAGTTTTTAAGCACTCAATCTGCAAGTTAATGATCATATAAACTAGTTGTATAGATAACTGTATTTCATAAATATTTGCCATTCCCTTGAATAAATTATTTTTGGCCTTATTAGCCTGCCTTATGTCTTCTCATCTCAGTAGTGAGAACATTATTCTGGTTATCTATCATACACATTATCATGTTTCGAAGTACTTTGCATGTACAGACACGATTTTTCCAGCTGACAACCAATATATTCAAAAACGCTCACTTAAATACTTTCTACAAAAGGTTCAATATGGTGCGACGTGTCTTCAGAATGAGTGAGTAACCATCTTACGATCAGATACATTCCCACCCAACTTCTAGTGAAATACACATCTGACACTTACATGAATAAGCCGTACATGTGTATGGTATTCAAATCTTTTCCTAGTCTAATCAGTTCTAGTTGCAAGTTTATGCATGTATGTGTGGTCGAAGTCCATACAGAAGTTTAAGAAATAGTGTCAATATCCCGCTGATCCTTTCCATGCATGACTTACAGCTAAATTATATGTCCACTCATCATTATTGCTGAGCGATTAATGATGGCAAGGAACAGACTATTATACAATAACTGTGGATCTGTCAGCACAGAAGTCTATTAGTTGCTCCAGTACACTTTTCGGTTCAAATGAGCTCCCCTACTCGACTACTGGAATCATCTACTAACATGACTCTATCTGAGTGTCTTCCGTTTGGCTGTGAAATTAATAACTTATCCTTTACTAAGCCAATTTAAGGAATTCGTAGTAACGGCTATTCCAATGTTTCAAGTAATCCCTACATAAATTCATTACAATGTACGCATAGCATGACAGCAAAAAACGCAAGTAACATCCAGTGGAGTACAGAAGGTGGGGTATGAGGACAAATACTCGACACAGATAGTCTACGAGCTCACTCACCTTGTAACTGGTACGTCCTGGGTTCGAACCCTAGCGGTGGGTGGTGCAGACTGATTAAGAGTCCCAAACTAGGCGGGTGAAACAGCTGTCTGGCAGTACTACGTACTGGTTTCCCAGTGGTTCTCTAACTAATGTCAGTTCACTATGAAATCCTGCAAATCTCTGCAAGCCAATACTGGAGTAATCATCATTGTACGCATTTTACTGCAATGACTAATCAACTTTTGAAATTATCCTATCTATGGTTAACATAGCTGTTTAAAATCCTGAATATAAAACTTATCAAGCAAAAATGATTTTGTATTAATAAAAATACAGGTAAGTGGTCCGTACGTGCACAACTGCAGTAAAAAAACAAATCTCATCCTTGCCTAGGAAAAACTGATCAAGAAGTGTGAAAGCACTCGTAAATGAATGCTGAAACCTCGTGAGTTAGATGAAAATACTTTTGCACCTAGTCGGTTACTTATATCATTGGTGGTAGTGGTGATTTTCCTTTAAAGAATGAAACAAGAGAACACTAATCAATCCTAGGTATATATCAATGTAAAGACAAGTTTCTTTCTCATTTAGTATTTTTGTTAACTAACCAAGTAATAAATTCACTCTAGTGCTATCTGTCTAATTCACTAATATGAAAAATGAAAACTTCGACACTCAAACTATGCATCATATGTGAACTCACCTTCTTTTTTATATAGGCGTTTGATGATCTGATCAAGCGTTCAACTTCTCCGGCTAGATCTCTACTCATTTCAGCAGAACATATACTCCCCAAAGTGCACAGAGCTAAACTAACCACATAGGGGGTTGGATGATTCAGATCACTGAAAAATGCAAATTGAAGTTCCTGCTTAGATGTATTACACATGACATAATAGAACGGCGTCATGAAACAAAATAAACGTTCTACAAAAGTCTAGTGTATCTAATATAAATAAAAGCGACACAGTATTTACGGCATTTCATTCCAGTACTATACATAATTACATGCAATGTGTTGTTCATAAATTATCAGCTATTATCTCTATGCGTTGCGCGTCTAATGAAAAATTCAGAATTTATTACAATCGGTAAGAATTTACTCTAAAGTCAACAGTAATAAATATGTGCTCTAACTACTGAGATTAGTGTACCAAGCTAACATGTATGTATCGCCCATCGCAAGTAACGTGACGCTTTTGTGGAACATGATCGAAGAGAATCAAACAGGAATACAAGACCTACACGTGAACTATCCACCCTATTTTTTTCTTCCGTCAACAGCTCAAAGATAATTTTTAGAAACTTTTGCTTTATATGATATACGTTGAAAATAGGTTCCCAATAGATTTGTCAAAATGAATTGGTAGGAGTTGGAATTCATGAGCCGACCATTCAATCGGGTTCCAGTGGCTTAATGGTCTACGAGCTCACTCGTCGTGTGACCGGAAGGTCCTGAGTTCGAACCCTGGCGGTGAGTGAATATTGGTGAACAGCTCCAGGAAACAGTTGTCTGGCTGTACTCCCAGCTGGTTTTCCAATAGTTCTCCAACCGATGTCAGCCCATGATGAAATCCTGTAACCAGAACTGTCAACTGATAGAAACTAACTTCTTGTTGTATACTGTCGAAAGCATTACACGTGAATACAAATGACATCCTCCGTCACTTTGTTTTGGTTGTTCACTATCCAGGTGATTTCTGTTTACATAATATAGTAATCACGGAGTGACTTTGTGAAGCATAACTTGTATGAGTTGCATGCTAAACAATAAGCATGTAATGTTGTAATACTTAGTAATCAATTTGTGTTAGTTGAGCCTAACGAAAATACAATTTATACTGACAGAAAACAGGAAATAGAGATAGAAGAAATTGGCAACTGTGAGAATAGGAACCGCAAATATTAGCACAGACAGCCATAGGATAAAATAATCGCAGAAGTTTTGTTTTAACTACAAAACTAAAATCGCCCTTCCTGTCTGCCTACAAAATATTCTTTTTAACACTAAGGCCTGAGATAAAAGAAAGAAAAAACAAAACTTACTTTTTGAGTGAATTAGTAACTAAAAGGTGTACGTCAGTCCGTTCATCAAGTAGCAGCATTGCCCCTAAATAACCAACTCTTTTATCAGTGAAACGCGAGGAAGCGACCAGTTTTAAACACTCGAGCTAAGAAAGGAGATGACGGGATAAAGAAAAAAATAGCTGTAATCTGTAATTCTTATTTATAAACATCAAAACACCGTATGTAAACGTTATCACTTAACTACAGGAAATCAGATACGTATTCAACAACAGCTGTTCCCTCTCTATACTACTAGCCTTTTTCCGTTATTTTATTCCTTTCCCCTTGTATTATTTTATCTTGAGGAGCGCATTTCTTCATGTCCAAATTCCATGGTTTCCCTATGCAGAAAATCATAATCAACTACCGTGGTTGGATGACCTATGGAAATAAAACTATAACAATAATGACAATAAAAAAACGTTGGCGGTTTGAATCCCTTATCACCGTAAACACACACTAAGCTACTATATTGGTTTGTTTATTAGATATATCAAACAGTGAAACAGTATTACTTACTGGACGACGTTTCAAACAAAATTTATTGTTTATAATCATATCAATTATTATTACTATTACTTACTACCACAGTGCCCAAGTTTTACACATATATATTAATAGATTAAGGTTGTCCGAGGAACACATGAACTCATGATGTCAAGCCTCACAACAATACACAAAACGAAGTGCATAAATGATTTCAAAAAAAAATTAGGAAAATAACTAAAATAAAGTTGACACAGATATTTGAAACGATGAAGACGATACGGATTATGGATTTGTACAAGACTAGGAGAGCTAAGTACAGAAAATTAGTCAACAAATGGGGTTGTGAACTTCATCGATTAATTAAGACGGCTAAGAAATGTGTTAATTATCTCAAAACATTTCTTTCAATGTTGGGTAACGTTTACTGAAGTAGAACTAGTTTCAAGCGGAGATAGAAGTGATGTGAACAAATCATGCTGTCAACTTGTCTAGCCGTCGAATGTTAGTCTCAGTCAAGCAAGCGGGTGTAAATTACACAGATGGGTTCATAAGAGTGCTAAGAAGCGGTGGTGAAACTTCATACATTTATCCCCCTTGATGAATTTGAATAAAGCTAGAACAACAGTTTGCAGAATAAAATGGTACCATTATTTATTTCGCTGGCTTCCTATTAGCTGCTTACAGCCCAAAAACATTATTGAGCTAATGCACACAAACAATTTCAACACTGGAAGAACAGAAAGATTTTTTTAACATTTACCAAAGAGCCTACATATCAAGGGAACAAATGCTTTCAACAGTACCATTGCCAGGCATTTTTCTTGAGACGGGTCATGAGGTGGACTTCTCAGAATCGTTCAAAATTACCAACAGATAAAATAGCTCAATTCTCCTCGAGTTCTCCGAAGTAATCTCTGTCAAACCCGATTTATGTGTTCAGAAAGAAGCGGTTGTCAGTCCTTCCCTGCCCTGGTAACTGGATGTTTCCATCCTCTCTTGCATTCTGCAGAAACTGTTCTTGCTTTATTCAAATTCTTGATGATATGGCTTGAAATCATTCACTCTTTATCATCATCCAGATTCGGGAAATCTACATTAATCCCTCTTCTCCCTATGCATCTAATCTCATTTTACTTTCGTTACTTTTTTTTTCTCCAATTGTTTTCCCGAATAGCAGCCATATATTAACTTCACTAATTGATGAATTGACTTGCAAAGCCCTAAGTCTCCTCTAAATTGATCCTATTTATTCCTAATATGCCAGCATAAGATCACAAAACCCTCCAGGGTTACTCAATACATTAGTAGTGAACCAATTATAATGGTTATTACTCATTACCATAACTACTAAATCATTACCACAGACGCTACATATGAAATATTAGATAATACATAACAAAAGTTAGTCATTATAATAGTCAAATAGGAAAACTATACCTGGCCGAAATGTGCAGGATATCCCAACATGTGGATGTATAATAGTTTAGCAACATTACGACACCTATAAGTATTGTTTTCTTCCCGAAAACTATCTCTAATAAGGGCACATTCTCTATTAACAATAGCACGTTCTTCAGCGGCAGTCCGAGCAGATCGTATATCTCTCACTAGTTCACGTAACCTTTTAGGAGCTGGCATCTGAAGTAAGAAAAATTCATCAAAACACCATCAAAGACATTCATTAGTCATAAGCAACAAAATCGACCGAAGTGGCTTTTAATCTGAAGTTGGCACTCTTCAATACACAACTACACAAAATGAGAATACTACAAGTGGTTATAAAGTTTCAACTCGTTAATACATTATCATTGAACTGACAGTAAACAATTCACCGCTTGAAGTAGAAATTCGCTTACAAGACTGGCGCGCATACTACCAGCTTGAAATCGTCTGCCAAATCAGTACTAGGTAGAAATATTTCATCTCAATGGAACTGTTTTTATAACTGGTATAATCCCGTTAATAAGGAGGAATATACATGTCATATAGATTATTTCATAGTTAAAACAATTGTTAGGATGTAAATTACTTTAGCCTTACTAAAACACCTTTCACCTGTTGGTGGAGTGAGTAGTACTTACAATTTTGGAGTGTCACACTATAAGACAGCAAAGCAGTCTACAAATAAGATGTGCTTTTGCTACCTATAGTTGACGATAAAGGTCACAATTAGCCACAAACTGGATGGTCAGATAAAGCCAATTTCCCAGGAAATTTATACAAATAGCTCTCCATATATGTATACTTACTACGAACTACAAACTTATTTACAGATCAATTTGTCTTGATGGTTAAATTTTGGTCCAACAATCGATATTTTAGTCAGTGCCTTGAAAAACCGTTGCCCCCACACACATTCAAGTAAAGTTGGTGCGGGTGATTTTTAACAGTCATGTGTGAACGCACCAGCCTTCAAGTTTATCAATTGGATACGCAGATGGGTGACTTGTTGGAATTTCTATTTCTTTGAACACTGAACACAATTAGGTCAGCGAATCGCAAGTGACTCGCAAATTCTGAGTGAGAATGATGAATTAAACACTTTTTCAGCGAGACGAATTATAGTCGCCACGTTTAGTGTGCTGTTTGTGGACACTGAACCGAAGGGAAGTACAAGCAGTTGTTCGACCTGAGGAAAATGACCAGTGCCAAGCAGTATACTGATAACAACTACACACTTGGCCACTACACTGCGTAACGAGGTGCTGAGTCGCATGCGTAAGATGACTGAGAAATGTGCGGTACTGCAAGGTTTTCTGGTGTTCCATTCCCTTACGGGTAAGACTGGTTCGGTCTTCATGCCATTGTTTAAGGAAGGACTAACGATTGATTCCGAGGAGCTAAACTGAAGATCGCTACATATCCAACTCCACATGCGTCAATCGCTGTTGCTGACCAGCACAACTCCATTCTGACGACACATACCACATTGGAGCACTGCGATCGTGCTTTGATGGTTCGTAATGAAGCGGTTAATAAACCAAAATCACAAAACAAATCGACTATCACACACGAACCTAAATCGGTTTACTGGATAAATAGTGAGTTTAATGTTGATTTAGTGGCCCATTAAGCCTGGATTTTAATAAATCCCAGACGAACGTCATTCCTTACCCTCGTAATCATTTTATGTTGGCGAAATACACGCCTATAATCTCGGCAAAGAAAGCGTCTCACGCAATCGCGAACGTCGAGACTCAGAAATGTATCCAATTTGTAGATTGATGCCCAACAGGTTTCAAAGTAGGCATCAATTATCAACTGCCTACAGTTGTCTCCGGTAATGATTTGGCTTAACTGCAACGTGTTTCGTGTTCTAAGTAACACTACATAAATTTCTGAAGCGTGGGTTCGTTTGGTCTGAAAATTCTTTTTGATGTGTACGAACCGGACTTTCTTGCATTGCTATGTTGGAGAAGATATAGAGGAGGGTGAATAATCACAAGCCCGAGTCAATTGACCAATCCCTATGAACATTTGGCCTCCAACTAGTAGGCCAATGGAGAGGCATAACGAAATGGGTTACAATTTTAGTATTCACTCACAAATAATTGACAAAGACGAAAAGGCTTGTGTACATACATTGGTCAAGGGAACAGAATAAGTAGGAACACATCGTTTTACTTAGTGTTCGGATAAGGATAACCGCATTTTTCAGGCTGAGTCAAAGATCATTATATCAGAATAAATTCTACATAAATGGTGTCTTTAGTGGAAAAATAACGTGAGATTACAATGAATTCAAGCAAGGCGGCTTAAATTATTCTCCACAGAATAATTTAAGCCTCTACTGACACAAAAAACTACCAACCCAGTTGAGTGATAAACTCCTTTTTAGACATCACACAAAAAAATAATCCAAAGCTACAAACTTCGTTCAGTATGTAGTTAATCAACCACTAAGATCAAGTTACCGCCCAGAAAAACAACTTGACAAACCTTTCATACAACCCGCGCTAACACACTGACAAACCCTAATGAATCAAAGCCCAATGCCAGGTTCTGAATTTCAAGATTAAATGAATCAGTGCAGAAAAATTGAAAGTTAATGTACAGACGATGGGAAGTTGTAGAGCAGCTTCATTCTTAAAACAAGAGATATCACATCGTTACCAACCAACTGACATTACCCACTGACATACACACGAGAGATCACCAAGACAAGAAGCGTGGTGACATAGTTTATTATTATGAAACGAAACGCAAAATATGGTGGATAGATTCAAGATGAAAGCTCAGTGTTCAATCAGTACATCTACATTGTCCCATGATTGATCCACCACATTCGTCCGACTTATAACGACAACTTAAAAGAGGGAAAAACAGTTAAATCACAATTATGAAGTTTACATATTAATTTCATAAGAGTTAAAACTAATCTCTCCTCTAAAAAGGAGACGATTTTTCAGTGTCTATAAGTAGGATCGGATAAAATAGTCCTCGACCTGAAGGAACTTCACATCTGGCAGTAGATGACCATGGTCAAATTATATCGATTGCTATGTTTTGCTGCTGCTAACGATCTCACAACGTCAACTCCAACACACTGATGTGGTCATGCCGGTAACATTAGGATCATCAGTGGGCATAGCCGATGAGGTGGAGATTTGATCTGTGCACGGGCCCCCCAAGTTCATTAGGTTTCCCCTATATTAAATTGTAACAGTGGCCGCCCATAACGCTCTAGTCTTATATGGTCTATCATGTTTAAGTTCTCGGTGCATTTTCGTGAAGATATATTGCACTTCCAACCAGAGTAGTGTAAGACAAGGCGTTTTGGCTAGCTCTGCTAAATAGATGTTATTGAGTGAGAGTAGGTGTCCCACTTGACACAGATATAAAGCGATGTTGCCAATATGTCCTTCCTTTCTGGGCTCGCAGCCTCAACATTTACACGCATCTGTCCTTCATAAGTATTCTGCAAGCCAGAATTGTCTGTCTGTAGAATACTTTACTTCCTTTTGCTGACACCTTGGAAACTGCTTGTGAGTAGCTACTGGTGACTTCAATTCTTGTGACTACAGTTTCCTTACGTCATTAAGTCATGAAAATATTGTCAAGTTTTCAACACGACTAGAAAATACTCTTGATCTATTAATTACAAATGACTTCTGCATATCTGAAATTCGGAAAAGAGCCCCACAACTTAATTTGGACCACTTTATCATACGAATATCGCCTAAGATATATAGAAATCTGCACAAAATTTCCTTTAAACTTGGTTAGAAATGACAACTGAGCTGTCAGTTTCCCAACGATACACAGAATCTCAGGAGCATGTTAAACTGAACAAGTTATGGATGACACCATCACAAACATAACAAGTTTGTCTCGAACTCTGCCTTGGTGTATGCTGTGCAAAAGAGACACTTCTTATGATTTAATCGCTTATCCTCTTCTCAACACAAAATGCTTCACCGAGAAAATAAAGGTTATATAAAATGAGGGATAATTCTCGTGTTAGCAGACTGGACATTTTAATTATACCAGAAATACAGAGAATAAGTGTTATATGTGTGGAGAGAATTCAGTTGTGCTGCTCAGAAATACTTGTGGCAATATGTTGAGCTGGATATAGTGAATTCCAGTTTGGCCTTCTTACTGAAATCAACCATCAGTCATTGCGTAAGAATCCGCGTGAAAGCTGAACCAGTCTCATCTGTAGAGGAATTGACAATCAGGAAACCTTGCGGTCCTCTGCATATTTGAATCAGTTAGTGAATTAAAGCATACAAGTATAAATTATTATCCGATGATTCCTTCATACAATAAAAAGACTACCAACCAAGTGAGAAATAAGTCACTTTCTTCCGTAGATCACACAAAAAGCAATCTAAAAACCCAAACTCCGCTGCGTCTGTACTCGATCAGCAACCGGGATTAAGTTCCTGCCAGTCAAAACCAACGGTAATTATTTCACGCACTCCACGCTAACATGACAAATGTTAATAAACCCAAGTCATTTATTCGCATTCAGCTTTTTGTTTATACTTTCTACTCAAATATTTCTGCATAAGTCTCTGATAACTTTGCGTTATGACCATTTCTGTGCACTAAGAGTTCAAAAATAATAATAATGTATATTTTCATATAAACATAAATTTACATGAAAATGCATCCCATTTTTACAACCACGATATAATGTCAAATACTAGATTGTCTACAAGTTAATGTTTGAACAGCTAAATGTTTGATATATATATATATAAACACTCATTATCTGACCCATTATCATTATTGAGTTAAACAGCAGTCCTCCAGGTTGCGCGGGAAAATCGACTTCGTTTCGTTTTCAACCCGTGGTTGTAGGCATACGATAACCGACCAATATTGAGGTAAGTACAACGGTTACAAGGGATAGTAAGCTGTTTTAGAAAAGTAAAGGAGCTAAGGTGAATCATTAAAGTGCAATGTATCATTAATAGATGCATTCATAAAGAAAATACAATGGGAGACTATAATCCCTAGGCTGGCAAAGTCCATTTGCAATGTATAAAGCTACCCATATAGGTCTTACTATCATGATGTCCACTTTCGGTTTTAATACAATTATCCACAAGCCGGTTGTTTTTATTACATACCTTTTTGTGTATTTGGTGCACAACCGTACCCTATAGAGAATAGGAATAGAATAAGTCGAATCAAATTCATTAAGAGCTATAAAATGTTAGGTTTAATGGAATATAATGAGCAAGTGAAGACGTTACTAGGAAATGAATGAGATGAGGCATTGTGAAGTGGTATCCAAAGATCCGACAAAGGTTCACTACTAAATCACCTGAAGATGACTGGTATCAAACTCCCCGCTGCTCTACGTGAGTCCTAGATACTAAGGGATCTAATTTTACTGTTCTGTGATTATAATAATAAGTCGAATTATTTTGGCCATATATTTTAACTCACTACTCTCACTATATGTATATATAATGCAGTGGTCCGCGTACTTTTTCTCATTGTCTCCTGGTTTTCATTTGTTAATTTCGAAAAGGTAGACTATAACCACCCAATTCCATTATTTTCTTCTAATCAATGATGTGCAGTCGAAAAGTACAAAACGGTCTGCTGAAAGTGGTGACTCATGCCATGAACTTCAGTGATAGTTGACAGATTAATCCAAAAAAGTCTACTTGGCACATAAAAATAAAAATAACAACTTCGCTAGGGCCACATGGGACATTTGAAGTCCCTGGGTATCTGTGGGACAGCGCTCTCGTGCTAAGGCTGCTGATTTGGAATCACTTCCACAGTAAAAAAGTTTCATAAACTAAAAGTCAACAGTTGCATGTAGTCCAGAGCCAAAGTCTAAACTCCCTGAATGAAACTAAGTGGTTTAAGTGTGATCTGCAGAATGACACTCAAATGTATATGTGAGAACAGCAGTATAGATATTATTAGGCTTTCACTATTCTTCTACACATTTCATGCACTTTGACTTCCTTCTCAGAGCCTATACTTAACATTACTACATATATTTTTACCAGTATACACATAAGCTAATCGTTTGTGTGGCAGGCTGTAGAACTACATTACTAAAACCATTTGGTAAAATAAAAAATTGAACTCTATGTTTATAGTATGTTGTTTGTTTTGATCTATTAACACTTATTAGAAACTTCTGCACCTGCCTTGCGGTTTTTTTCCGTCTTCTCTTTTAAAAGGTACTACCTTGGACCACGACACTGATATAGTGGCGCTGTCCTGTACGTTCGTTTAACTCGAATCGAGTGTTTAAATCGCTGTAGCCTGCAATATGCAGATATTCTGCATGTTGTCAGAACATCTGATGGAGATCGAAACCACCTTCGTCATGAAATCAGTTGATCATTTCAAAGTTGAACTCATATATTTTCTGAAGTCAAATTATGCTGTGCTTACATTTTCGAAACCTTTCTGATAAACCCACAATTATTATAAACATCGCATCCATTATGTTTCGCCTAAGCACCCAAGTATCAAAATAATTCTTAACTCCTACTGACATTATCATTCAAAAATCCTGCAGGAAATTGATAAGCAGGGGGTGTGTAAGCCCGATTTCCCAAGTGCTTCTTTTAGATATATTGGAACTCAACACGCCAGTCGTGTGAAATTCCATGACACTTTGGGAGGGTAAAATGGACAACCGTGAAACTTAGAGGATTTGTGAAAGATGAAAACTGAAGCGAGACAAAATGGAGGAGAGTTTCTTGTTGTAATAATAATTTATATTTCGTTTAAAGGGGTGTTTACAAGAAATGCATACCATTTTAACAGGAACGATCAGTTATATTATAAATTACAATCACAAAGTATCATAAATCAATACTTTTTCAAAAGTTTAAATTGTTCGACTATTGTATATGCAATTGGAACAGGCTCTTATAAATGTTAAATTGTGAACCCTTCACCAAGATCACCATCAAAGTTGAGAGACAATCCAAACTTCCATCCACTTCATTCTGATAGTTATGGTCAACTAGTGAACAGCGTATATTTGGGTAAGCGCTATGCTGCCACGTGATTAGAAGCTATTTCATGAAGAGGAAAACGTACTGGGAAACTGCAAAGTGTCATAAAATACAATTATGGATGATACATCATTGGAAGTACATTTACAAAATATATGCAAGAAGGAGATGGAGACTCCTTGAAATGATGGTATACATTTGCAACGTTTAATGCTAACCATATCGGTCTAAGCATGGATACTGTGACGTTTTTGATGAAAATATAGCTGTGCTCAAACATTGGTGTTGTTGTACTTTTAATCAAAGCAACAAGAATTTAAGGAAGCAGCAAATATGAACAAAGAATAGGCTTTAGCTTGAATAAAGGCCCAGATAGTTGAGATCAAATAGAGCACAATAGTGCGTAAATAAAAAGATTGTCGTGAGACAGATAAGCGATATTTCAATGAGAAGTGAATTCAAAGATCGGGAAGATTAGAACCCGTAATACGAGCTGACGTTTCACGAATTTCTGTAAGTCCCATGGGGCAGCATCGTCATCAGAA